CAGAAGCAGACACTCCCTACCACATCAGTGTCCCTATAAGGTAAAGAACCTCTGGGCTAGTCCCATGAGGAAGGAGGCTCAGCTCCCTCCTGCTGGGCTCTGTGCCCACCATGGCCCCTCTATCTCCTGCTGTTTGCTATGATAGTGTTTATTAATAGTGTTTATTATTATTATTAGGTTGTTTTTTTTCCACTAAGGTTTTTCAATTAATCAAGGAGTCCATCATTGCACCAGGTTGCAAAATAAATCAAATGAAGAACAGTGGCCAGGTTAAAATAAGCACTCTTGGGAAACCCAGGCAATTCCTCCTGCTGATAAAGAATTTACCCCCTCCATAAACAACAACAACAAAAAATGGCAGAAGGATGAAAGTTTCCGATTACGGAGTGCTGTGGCAAAATCCATGGGACATTGCTGAGGGATTCAGAGCTTACAGTGCTTCATGCTCTTGCCAATTTTAATTTCTGTGTTTTTGTTCTGAATCTTCACTTTTTATTTAGTAGATTGTTAGTTTTTTGAGGGGAAACTTTCTCTCCTCAGTATGCTTGTTTTTAAAGTTCCACTTCCTTTGTGGACTGACTTTGCTTCCAAAAGGACATTTGCTGTTTCTGTCCAGTTAAATAAAATAAGGAGAGAGAATAAACAAACAAGAATGAATTTTTTAGTACAACAAAGAAAAGGCTGGGAACAGATCTGGGTTGTCTTAGGTTTGCTCAGTATTACCAAGCACACTGTAAGAAGAACTTGTCAAGTTAAATAATGAGCACCAGGTAGATTGCAACAGCACAAGTTAAGCAATTTGCTTTCCCAATCACGACACTTTTCCCGTTTATTGATTCCTTGAGAACAAAATCACCAAATGAATTCAGTGTATGAGTTGGCCCACCCAAAACAAAGCAGGAAAATAAAAGATAAAGAACTATACATTGGTTCCTACTACTGTAAATAGACATGGTGGTATTTTATTCAATACTTCAGATTTTCCATTGAGCCTTTCTTGTGAAATAGCCAGATGGGAACAGTAAAGATTTTTTTTTTACCTAGAGGAGTGCTTTGAAGGGTCAGGACCCCAGATCATTTTATCAGCTGTAACAGTGTAGTTAGAATGTCACAGACTGCTACATAAAAGAACATTTCACCTAAAAGCGTTTTATATCCACTTAGACCTGGGGCTTTTTAGAAGGCTTGAGTGCAACTATATCAAGGTATATCTGCATTTGAAGCTCTATCAGAAGTTTATAGAGAGTTAGAATTTGTAGCATGTAGCTATGAGGAAAGAGAGAAGAGTTTTTTTTTTTTTTTTCCTTTTAATGAAAATGCCTGTTTTTTTCTGAGCAAAATCTTCATAGGTGGAGGTTTTTTAATGGAAAAATTAGCAAATGATCTGTATTTTAAAGCAATGGTCAATCACGGTTTGATGAATTCAGTTAGCCTGGGTGTGCCACAGTAGGCTGCAAAGCCACTCAGACACTCAGACACTTTTGCCAGACCTGCAAGACGAGGAGCATCACCCCGCTGGAGATGGCTTGAAATGTTGCTGTGAAGCTCTCTGCTGATGCTGTTTGTAATGCACGGGGAACAACCCCTTCTTGGTACCCATGGGATGCTGAGGGAGAAACAGCCTCCTGTCCCGCAGGAACTTGGATGTATCTATCTGCTCACTCTCATTATATTGTTTCCCCAAGGGTACCACAAAACAGTTTCCTTCCTTTAATGAAGAAGTAGCTTCCACTTGCTGTTCCATTAATTCCCCTTACAAGCCTCCACGTATTTTTGCATTAGCCACTGGAGACTGTTGGTAAGCAGTGGGAGAAGAGCTGACGTGCAGTGTGCGGGTCACCATAGGCACCTCTCATGAAACAAAGACAAGAAGCGAGCACCTTCCTGCTCAGATGAATGAGAAACAGATCACCATGGCCACCCTTTGAGGAGAAATGAACCCTTCAGGCTTGGTTTAAATCTTAAATCTGCAAAACCGTTATCAGCTGTATTTTGACTAACATTCCCCAATAAAACATCAGCAAAGATGTCTTGCAGATCAGAACAAAGAGCAAAGCGTATGTATGGGAAGCACTGAGATAGCTGATTTGGGTGGGAACGGAGCTACTGAAATGTCTATGTCTTGCTGTGGTTAGAGGAGAGATGTTAGGACCTGTGTGTTGTTCTCGCCTGTAGCTGAGAGCTGTTGGGTGACCGTTACCCACCACCCTTGCTGTCCGTCCGCCCAGGCACTGGCTGCAGCGCCGCGTTTTTAGCTTAACATGTCCAGGGTTGTACAAGACTGGCAAGACGTTTCAAAGAGCCTACTCAAAACTCATGAGTAGTTGCTCATTTAAAAATAAGACCATACAATCTATGAGGACTGTTAGCTCTATTCCCCTCTACTTAATCCGTAACTTTTCTTCATAGTTTAGGAACACATCCTTTAACTAAAATGGTCGTATTCTTGGGAGTGAATACTGTGAAGAGATTTTCTTCATCCTGGATCAACTGCTTCTGCTGTCTTTTCTTCCTAAAAGCCCGTAGGCTCTTGCTGATAGTCCCTGGGTTGTTCCAGCCTTTCCCAGCCCTGGGTCCTGCCTCCCTCCATAGCCTCCTGCCTTGGAGTAAAGGCTCCCAAAGAGCCAACCTTGCTGGCTGAGGTGGGAGCAGGTGTGAATATTCCTCCTCCCTAATCAGCCTCCCTAGTGTTCCTTGAGGCTTTCTTATTGTCTCTATTGTTCTCGCTTTCCTGACTTATTTTATTTTATTTTATTTTACAACCCTGTTTGGCTTATTCCACAGCAGCCCAGTACAAATAAACATATCAGGCATGTGCCTTATTAAGGAAACAGCTTGGTTCCTGGACTCCCATGGACACATTTGAAATGCCAAACTCTGCAAAGTGTTTATTGATTGAGCAGAAGGGGTTTCCTTTCCATTGCATTAAAAAGAAAAATCCCAAAACTAGCAAGATAGAATTCAATGTCCAGCTGCCACTAAGGATTTTTAAACACAGATTTTCTCTCAGTTGTCTTTCTTTAAAAAAACTTTTGAAGAACTGCATAGTTACACCTCATTTCCTTCCTGATACTTGCAGTTAAAAACAATCCTTAATCCATTAATTAACAATTAATTTCTTCTATTTTGATCTACAACTTTACTCCCTTCAGAAAACTGCCGTAAAGTTCAGAACAACAACAACAAAGTTCTTAGTTTTCATTTTCTAATTTCGATCCTTGAGTGAACACTAAGAACGTGTTATGAGCGAGTAGGAATTTCTCTTGGGACTTGCTGGTAGGTAGAGACTCTCACCACTGTTTTTCTTAGGCTGATAGTTTTTGCATCAGACTTCTCATCAGGTTTTAATTATAAGAAAGAACTTAAGCCTTCTAATTTGAACTAGACTGGACAAGAGAGAAATGGTTTGCTGGTTTGATGTCAGTATTGTAATCCTTACCTGCTTGGGTCCCTCAGCCTCACAGCCCTTTTGTGTTTTGAGTGGGCTCTTCCATGCTCCAATTTTGGTGCCTTTTTTGTCTCGCTTCTCATCATGCATGTTCTCTTCAGGATGTAAAACAAAAGCAAAAAGCAGCTCGCAAGCAGCTAGGAATGCTGTTTTTCTTCAGCTGACCATCCTTTCCCGCAGTCTTTCTGCCGAGGGGGGTTAATCCCTGGGGAAAGGCAGAGAGCTGCTCAGCGAGGTGCCCAATCTCTGCTCCTTCTGCTCCTTCCCCGTGCTCCTTGCAACAGCTTCGTACACCGCTGTGCTTCAGCTGACAGCCCTCTGCCCCAAACTGCTGCGCATTATACCCTCCTCTCTCCTGGTGCTTTTCTTGGAGAACATTGTAAATGTCTTTGCAGGAAAAAAAGAGCCATTTCTTAATGCTGCCACCACAGGGAATAGGAAATAGGGAGCATGGTAGTAGCCTAGGCTGCAAAGGAGCCCTTAAAACAGGTTCAACAGCTGCAGAAGTGAGGTCGGTCTGGCTTGAAACATCTTTCCGAAGTAGGAACAGGCACATTCCACGTTGCAGGGTGCACAACTCGACGCTGTGTTTTCCGCAGCCGGCCCCAGCAGCGGCTCCCCGGGCGCTTGCGTGCCGGCTCCTCGTACAGATCTCTGCAAGCTGCAGAAACACGCGGGCAGATAGCGGGAGGTAGTAAATCGAACGTTTATTTCCATGTAATTTCCACGTTTAGCTGTGGTAGCAATTAAAAGATTAGTACGGAACAAGATGATTGTCCGAGTATTTTGTTAGTTTATTTTACACATGATATGTGGCCTTCTGCAGTCTCGGGGCGCAGACTGCTACACAAGCTTGTAAAGGCTTGAAAGCTCTTTACTGCCAAAGTCTGGATTTGAAGCTGGAAGCTGCCGCATGCTCCGAGGTGCTCGGTCCAAGCTGCACGCTGTGAAACCCCCGGGATTGCTGGAAGGCTGGGGCTGTCTGTGCTCTCCTTGCTGAGGCTGACCTCAGTAATACTTTGTTCTTCATGACTAAAGCCAAGTGACAGAGACAGGTCTTAGGGCGGGAGGACCTGCTGCTCTTTCTGTTCTGTCACTGCACACCACTTTCAAGCAAATCTATTCCCTTAGTCAGTGTGACTTTTTGTAGAAATTGAAAGCTCATTCATTTCAAAAATATGCCGTGGTAATACACCCTGCTTTCATTAAAAATGGCGATTGCTACTGAAGTGACACCTGTTTGTAAAACACTCTTAAGCAGAAGTTTGCTGTGAGGAAGCTGAGCTCCTGCTCTTCCAATTACAGAGCAGTGTCCTGGAGCATTGGAGTAGTGCTACTACTCCAACAAACTGTTTTATATGTACAGCACTTTCCGCTGTTGCTGCTTTCCATACAGTGTGGATCCCTATGCAATCCCCAGGCAGTCCTGTGTGTTCATCATGTCATACGTGTTGTGAGCCGAGCCGCAATCCCTGCTCACCTGCCTGCAGATGCACCGAGTACCAGGCAGCTTTTCTCACTGAACACTGATGATTTCTCTCTTTTTTTCCAGATGTCCACACAGAAGCAGTTCAAGCAGCCCTTGCTAAACACAAAGAAAGAAAAATGGCAGTCCCCATGCCCTCAAAACGACGTTCATTGGTGGTGCAAACGTCAATGGATGCCTACACACCTCCAGGTGAGCATCTGTGTTGGTGTATTTTATGGGAGTTTTTAAAGTGATTCCTTGTGCTGCAGTGAGATAATAATATATATTCATGTATATACATACTCATATATATAATATATGTTCATAATATATATAATAATTTAATATATTAGCTCATATGCTATGAGCTAATAGTATTATATAGGCAGTAATAGAAATGGCATTTGAAGCATGCTGAGCAGAACATTGAGGTACATTCAAAGAGCAGAAGGTGAACTGAATGGTTGAAAAGAACAGGGGCAGTTCTCTTTGCTCTTGGCAGTGCCCAAAGGTGCCCTGGTCTTTTTGGTCTTATGAGGCGGTAAGTGCAATAACAAACTTGCCCTATTTTATGCAACTGCAGGTTCCTTTCAAGTTTCTGTTTTACCTTCTTAAGACTGTAGTGGAAATTTCTCTTTACAATTTTTTGTTTTTGTGGCCATCCCTTTTCTAATTTATATGCTCTTTTACCTATTACAATGTGAAAATATCCCACGTCCCATGGATTCTGCTGCTTGCTAAATCCTTGGCAGAGCAGCTTTGACTGAATTTCTCACTGAAGGGTGGGTGCCTTAGGACTGAAAAAGCTTTTCTCAGGTTCTGTGGACTGATGTTAGGAAAATATTTGGGATTATCTGTGCTGTTAGTAGATGGTTGGAAAACTTCAGGAGATCTTAAGCTGTATTATAAAGGAAGAATTATCCATATTCACTTTCATAGAAAAATAAATGAGCAATGACTTAGAGCAGCAAAACTCTCTTAATATGTAGTTAGCAACTGCCTTGGTTTCTAGACTTTCAGTAAATCAAACTTCTCTTAATGTGTTCACCTGCTTTGATTAATTTTTGTTAATGACAATTATCTTTAAGCTTGTACTGTGAATATGCCTTATTTCTATGAAAAAGAAAACAAAAGCATTGCAAATAACAGGCTGTTTTTAATTATTAGATACTTCTTCTGGTTCAGAAGATGAAGGCTCCGTACAGGGCGACTCCCAGGGAACTCCCACCTCAAGTCAGGGGAGTATAAACATGGAACACTGGATCAGTCAAGCGATCCATGGCTCTACCACGTCGACCACTTCCTCCTCCTCAACACAAAGTGGAGGCAGTGGTGCTGCCCACAGACTAGCTGATGTTATGGCCCAAACGCATATAGGTTAGTCAATCTCCCTTCTGAGTATTTTCCATTTTAAACTGGGTTTGGTCTCTGACGTTTAGCTTATGCTGCTGTTTCAAGCTGGGATGTGACCTTTCCTACAAAAGTTTCTCTTGTGCTTTTTCTTCTTTCCTTTTATTCCATTTGCATATTTTACATGGAGAGAGATACCTATGTTCGTATTCTGAAAGAAAAAGAAATTAAGAGCTGAGTCAAACATTTGTTGTGGCAGGCGAAGTCTAGATGCACATGCATGACTTCCATTGCTTAACACCAAAAAAGACATCTGTAGGATCTATAGTAGAAAAAAATAGTGCATGCAGCATTAGCGATTGCTTATGTACAAACTTTTCCTACTTCTGCACCATTTTAATTACAGGACTTGAGTGTTTTTTGATAATTTTCTGTTAACATTAGGTCTTCTTAAACATTTTTGCTGCCCTTAATTGAATCCGCAATTTGTGACTACTGCAGTCCCTGGGAATGACTATTATATACCTTCAAAAAAAGGGAGCTGGTACTGTTATTATCAACTTGTTTCTATCCTTTGGAAAGATCCTAGGAAGCCAAGGCTTTCTATCCTTTAGGGGGCTAAGCTTCATAGACATTAATTATTTCTGAATATTTTTGCCATTGACATTAGTCAATGACATTAGATGTGTCGTTGGCATTAATCTTCACTTAAATGAAGCAGCTATTAAATTAGGCATATGGAAAGCAGGGCTTCTTGTCCTCCCTTCATTCTCCATTAAGTGCTGTTTATCCAAGGAGACTTGGAGATTTTCCTTTCCTCTGTCTCTTTGAGTGCATTCTTGCTGGGCCTGTGTAGGGGTTGTCTCACGGAAGCTCTCTCTGGGCACAGACAAGGCAGCCTTGCTGTTGTGCTGTTACCCATTTCAGATGGAGGTTAGTGGCAAAAATGCTATGATGCTTCCTCAACTCGTCATTCTTTTTAAAGTATGTATGTATAAAGAGGAATATAAAAGCATTTTAACTGTTCCAGATTTTGTATGCTGGAGCAGTAGTCCTTGCTCCTTCTTCTGCTGTCAGCATTGCTTGATGTAACACCTACATTTTTGGATAAATAATCCGCTAACCAATGCCCTGGAAGTGCCAGATTGCAGTCAGGAAAAGAATTTGTGCTATATTCTCAAAATCATGTTAAATGAATAGCTCAGAACATTGTTTTAGGAAAGCACACACTTCTGAACACGTTAATCACTGCATTTGGTTATTTTCTGTGACTTCATCTTGAAATGCTAGAGGAAATTATAGCATACAGAATTAAATTTATCCAAACTCTGAAAGGTTGCATTACTCACACACCAAGTCTTAATGTGTCTTTAAATATAGCTGCTTTATAATGTGACATTTCAGTAATTCTGAATCTGGCACAGTAAGTCGTCTTTTATAATCACTCTGAATTTGCAGTAAATAATACAGCATTTATAGAGCTAAGTTAAGATGGCAATGTTTTGAGGAAGAGGAAAAATACTACTTCTTTTCTCATGTTTTTCTCTTTGCTGTTGTTGAGTGGAAGGATCTCTCCTTTGAAGAAAGCAGTTAAGGCCATCTTGACATATACATAAATTTATGTTATTCTGACAATAAGAAACCTTAAATTGCAAGGTGGACAACAGTTGTGATGTAGTAACGTAAAAAACATGGATATGAAAATGGAGCAGTATCTGCTAATAACTGTAACGTTAAAATGTGGATTCTGACTGTGATCTCTGTCAGTCATTGTTGCAATGATCAATGAAAAAAGTAAGAGATGCTGGACAGGTGTTACCTATAAGGGATGTTTCTTCATGAGTGAGTTGCTATCTGATTTTATGTTGTAAGAATTTGAAATTAAATGGCTGTCATTTCTTCTCAATCCAAGAAGGTGGATTTTGCATTTAGTGGTATCTAAGAAGTAATACATGTGAAGCATTCCCATAGATAACCTTGATATTTCAGAAATGAATGCTAAAAGGCAAGTGGTGTGCCAGTGCTCATAGGTGAGTAATTCTCTTTAATAGGAAAGAAAGTGAGAGAGAAAATTATCCCATTCTGTGAAGCTGCTCTGGAGCATCGGAGATAACATGATCTTGAACACAGAGATGTATGTTCCCATGACTTGAAGTTCAATAATGATATAAATATATATTATGCTAAATATATACCATATTATATTAAATATATAACAGTATATAAGTATATACTGTTATACTGTTCATTTAATTTAGTGTCTGCACCTTTGTTGTGGCCAAAGATTAGTATAGGATAGATTTCCTTCTGATATTTATTTTGAAATATAAGAAACCAAAGCATCTGTACAGAAATGTAGGAAGAATCTCAAGTTTGACATGGGTATCAAAATTGTGCTGGATAACTGTTAAACTTAGAGGTCAAACCAGTGAAATCTGAAAAAAATAGCTAATGTTCAGGGCGTGTTTGGTTCAGTTGCTATAAACATTTCTAAGGTGCTTCAATCAGTCTCTAAGCTTGCATTTGTTTATCTTATATTTTTGATAAATACATATATCAAAATCAAGGAGAGAAAGTATATCGTGGAGGTGAGAAAATTTGTGGCTAATGGTTACACAGTGCTTACCTATCATTGTAAATTTGAATCTATGCAGATTAAAGAGTTAAAAGTCTCACTACAAAATCTTGATCCTGTAGGCACATACAATTTTGCCTTTATATGCTTCAAATATCTTTCTATTTGAAAATCAAAGGCCTCCTTCCAAATTAAAGGCTACATAGGTTTCTAATAAAAATCAATATAAAAACATGTGCCATAAGGCATGACTGATGGTTTTCTGACAGCCTTCAAATTCCTATGTGTTCTGAGGGATTATATTAACTTACGATATGGAAGACTAGTTTATGATACTCTCCATCACCTGGACATTAATGAAGGGAAAAGCTATTTGATGGGAAAAGGTATGACTTTCACTTCCCCAGCAACAGCTATATTTTCTTCAAGTACATTATTATGGAGGTGCAGTTTGAATTCCTAGAGCCTTTCCAGCTATGTAGTGCTTATGTGTGCTTCCCAAACTTCTACTGAAATGTACTCCTCTGCCTCTCTGCCTCTCCTCAAAAATGGGTTTGTGTCAGTATACACACTCCATACCTACACGAATGTCTTCTGAATTGGCAGTTGTTTCTCACTTTCATAAAATGGGGTAAATTGTATTACTCCAGCGGCAAAAATGAAGGGAGTTATAACTGGAAACAGCTGTTCAATCTGTGATCTGCTAATGCAAGAATATTGGAAGAGACAGGAAGAGAGGGTGACGCAAGTGTGTATGCTTGGTGGAGGAAATGCTTTGAAGTCATGCAGCTGTCACAGTTTCTACTTTTTAATCAACAGATGTGTCGGGATCATTATTCTTAACTAAGCCTCAAACAGTCCTTCAAGTTACCTGACATGAAGTGCAAGCATCTCTATACCCAGTGTGCCCATACTCAAATCTTCGGATGACTGTTACACTTCAGTAAAGTCTACATTTCACATAACAATTACTTTTTCTTTAGACATCATTCAGACCATATTTTTGCCTGTAGGACTTTGATTTCTCCAGGCCAAGCTCTGAGAAGAGAACTGATAGAGACTTTGCTATTTTAATTGATGAAACCTACAGCTATTGATATTACAATAAGACATCTGCTAAGCAGACACTACAAAGGAATAGGGCAGGGCAAACCTAAGTTGTCCTCTTCTGCTGGATAAGGATTCAGCTTAGTAGAAATCTAAATAACAGATGGGCAGCCGGGATTTTAAACACAACTCTGTGACCAGCTCATGGTGACCACATTGGGAAGTGAGGTTCCTTTTGGATAATTTCAAGTGCCAGAGCTGCTTGTTCAAAAGGAAGCTCTTTTTTCAAAAGAACGGGAAGCTCCTTTCCCAAGTTATTTCACTTTGTTTGGCACTATGTGTTGCAAAGGAGTATTTGGGTTGAAGTGTGTAGACCTGAAAGGAGAGCATCTTGACTCATCTATGCTGGTTTGGATGTCTTCTCTTCCACGCATAAAAACAGTTTCATCCCAGTTGCTAAAACCTTGAATGTGATACCAAAAGGGAGCTAGGGAGAGCTAAAATCCAGTTTGCTTTGTAAAGTCTGAAATATTTCACTGGAAAGATGTGAACAATTAAAGCTAACTTCAAAAATACTTTCTCATGTTACTAATAGCTGACTAAGTACAATTATTTTCTTACTCATGATCTCTCCAATTTGCCTAGCAAAACTGCAGTATAAGTAAAAGATGAAAAAGTAAACATCAGCAATTTTTAATTGATTTAGATACTGGGTAATTCAATCATTAACTGTAAAAAAGCTGCCACTTAGCAAGGAAGGCCAAAAATTATGCTGAGACTAGAACACTTGTCAAATGACAAGAGGTCCAAAATGAAGACATTATTGAAACAATTCCCAGCATAAGCCTCATTGTCCAAGCTATTATATTTCAGTTGGTTACTTATAGCTCATTATAAAGTGTTCTGGGGTGTAGTGGTAGGGATGGGTGTAATCATACTCAAAAGGCTCAGCGGGACATGCGTAGGGAGCAAGATATCTTTGAGTGGCAGGATCAAGCCCTCTTGTGCTTGGCTCAAAGAGATTCAGTAGTGTCCATTTTTATGGTCACCATAAAGAGACTTCAAGACTTCTCCAAGACTTGTGGAAATTCCTTTTATCCATTGCAGTAGGAATTCTCTATAGAAGTCAGTGTTATAGTAGAGTTAAGACATCATAAATCATATAAGATAGATTTAATAAAAACCTGTCTTAAAAATAGTATTGGAACCAGATTAATTTCTTCCACAATTTTTGCACTTTTAAAGACTCTTATCCTATCATAAATGGAGCGTGTTCCTGCTCACTTCAGTGGCAGCAGTATAAGACCTGTCTTTTTTTATGTCTCAGAGACTGCTAGGGATCATTTATGTCAATAAAAGAGAAGTTATTATTTGCTCATGGTAATTATCTCCATCTAGCCTAATGCTGTTAAAGACCTGGACAAAAATTCATGAGTCAACCTGTAAAGATAGTAGAATACATGGGCAATAAAGACTCAGACTTGAAAAGAAACTGTGGTAGCATGATGAGTTCTCAGGCTATGAAAGAGAAAGATTAACTTCATGGCACTGTTTAGTGGTAATGTCATGAGTCAGAGCAAATTGAGTTTGCCTTTTGGAACAATTCTGTGTTAAGCAGAAGAATCAGAATAGCCCTAAAAATAGTGAACAAATAAGTGTCCACACAGAAAGCAATGTTCATGTTTCTTTACATCTTATTTTTCCCCTATATTCCAAATCTAATTCCTAATTCCTGCTATGATTGGTTTTTTTCCTAATATGCCACAAATTTCTATTGAAATTAAAATTGTCAAATTCAAAATGCAGAGACTATAAAAGTGATATGCATTGGCACTTGCAAGTGGGTTGACTTAATATACTGTGTTCTTTTTATTTTGAAATACTGATGCAATAGTCAGAAGTGTATTTGTATGGGTCGTCTTCTCCCTGAACTTTTGCCCAAACTTTAACTTGGTATGAAATTAAATGCTAATGGAAGAAAAAAACAACCTAGCTGTGTAATTTTTTTAGCCGATTGCTTGTATGGTTGAGGATATACAGTCTCTTCATTAATCAGTGAAAAATTCATATATTAAACCCATGCTGTATGGGCTGTACCCGTGGGCTGTATGGTAGGATATAGGTCTATACACTCATTTTGTGCATGAACTTTAATACCTGTTTGGATAATGAGAAAAAATACAAACGTATTCCTTCCTTTCCCCTTTGCTTTTCTACTCTGCAACACTAGAGGACCTGGTTAAACCTTTTAACTTATTTTTCACAGAAAATCATTCTGCTCCTCCAGATGTTACCACTTACACCTCAGAACACTCAATACAAGTAGAAAGACCACAAGGATCAACAGCACGGGTGGCACCAAAGTATGGGAATGCTGAACTTATGGAAACTGGTGACGGTATGTCGCAGAGCAAAACTGTTTTCTTTTTGAGTATTGTAGCCTTTTTAGTGGCTAGTGCATACATCTGCGCTTTGTTTCTTCTGGGCACATTTCATGTATGAATATGTATAAAGTTGCAGCATCTTTTTTGTCCTGAAACTGGCATACATGAAGCCAACCAGGGGAAATATTTCTTAACCATCAGACCTTGATTCCCCGTAGGAATTGTTTAGCAGATGAAAGCAGCAAACCTCTCCTGCTTTTATCAGGCTGTCTGGTTATAGCTAGTGTGTCTATTCAATGAGAAAGAATGTGACATGCTAAGATGTCACATTTCATCATGAAAAGTAATATATTGGACGTTTTGTTTTCTGAGAATATTTTTTTGAAAAACAGTTATTTGTAAACCCTTTCTTATTTACTGCTCCTCTTTTCTAAAACATATGAAACAGTATTTCAGCAGGTGTGGAACTGATGACCAAGTGTATTGCATCTAAACAGTTTCCACTCTAACAATCACTTGGTAACAGTGTTGGAGCCAACCTTCTGGAAGGATAGGAAGCTGGAATTTCTGCAGTGCAGTGGGTGAAAGCTCTTAACTCAGTAACAGATGACCTGGATGTTGCTCTACCAGGAGGAAAGAAGGGGGAGGTGTTTGATGGGTTATATTGTAAAATGCCGTGACCCTTTTCAGCACCGTGTTTTACCAAGTGCTGCATGAGCAAGCGTGCTCTGCTTGGAGGTTGAGGGCTGGTGAATTGGTTGTGGACACCTCCAGTGAAGACAGCATCATGCTGAAGCTTACCAAGGTGCGAGCTGTGGCTAAGAGGGCACAGGCCAGAGGTCCATGCAGTTTAAAGGCAAACCAGAGTAAACGATGGGGCAGAACCCGTGACCCATCCTCCTCGCTGGGCTGCAGTTTGCTGGAAGCCCTCCAGTTGGACAGTGTTGGTACAATCAGTGGAAACGGGGAGAGCAGATGCCTGTTTGCTCCCTGGCCATCACCAAAGCTGTCTAGAAATGCTCTCTATGGTCACCAACTTTTATTCTTGGGAGGGTTTTTTTTTCACTGTGCTTCTCTCCCTCAGTCTATGTGCTGTTTCCTCTCTAACTTTGCACGCTCACTTTGAAGTTGTGGTGTTGTTTTTATTTAAACCAGGCATCATTATTCCTTTTTGCTGAAATGATCTTACTGTCTTAATGTTGAATACTTGAGTCGCACTCATGGTATGGCATGAAACTGTAGTTGTGGTGGCCTTGCAGTTCTAGCCGTTCTCTTACCCACGTAGCGTCTGGTGGCGTTCAGCGTAGCGGTCAACTGATGTCTCCATTGATCCCTGTCCTGCAGGAGTACCAGTGAGCAGCAGAGTGTCAGCAAAGATTCAGCAGCTGGTCAATACTCTAAAACGGCCCAAACGACCACCATTACGAGAGTTCTTTGTAGATGACTTTGAGGAATTGTTAGAAGGTAAAATGACTGTTTTTCAAAAGGTTTGGGGATCTTTTTTACAACTCTGTAAAATGTTTGCTTTCCTCACTGATTTTCTAGAATGCTAAGTTAGCCTTCCTGGTACTGTCAAGTACTCCAAAATATTGGTATTTTGTGGGATCTACTTGTAGGGAACTTGGACAGGGTGCAGTAGAATCACACGTCTCTGTCGTTTGCTCCTCTTATGCTTATGCTTGCAGTGAAACTGTATAATTCATTATAAAAGGGAGTGGAGAACAGCTTTCACAAAATCACAGAGTGGTTGAGGTTGGAAGGGACCTCTAGAGATCATCTAGTCCAACCCACCCTGCTCCAGCAGGGACACCCAGAGCATGTGGCACAGGGTGGCATCCAGGCGGGTTTGGAAGGTCTCCAGAGAAGGAGACTCCATAACCTCTCTGGGCAGCCTGTTCCAGGGCTCTGTCACCCTCACAAGAAAGAAGTTCTTCCTCACATGGAGATGGAGCTTCCTGTGCTTCAACTTGTACCCATTAACTCTTGTCCTGGCCTGTCTTGGCCACCACTGAGAAGAGTTTGGCCCCATCCTCCTTTCTATGTTGGAGCTCAGGAATGAAAATATTCACTGGAAAGAAGTTTCAGGAAAAGAAGAAATTATCTAAGCATTCCTTATGTTTGCTCCAACAAATGTTAGCTGCGTGTTCCAGCCATTTCTTTTGAATATCAGTATGAAAAATATTGCCAGTAAATGGGCATATGTTTTACATGTCCTGTTATAACAGAAACATTGAAAAATATGAACTAAATGTAAAATAGGAACAAGCATCAAGTCAATAAATGAAAAACTTCTTTTTAAAAGATCAGATGATAGATAAGATGGTAGATGGAGGATAAGATGCTTCTTAACCTACCTGGAGGCTTTGATAATTATGATTTGCTAGGAGATGGTGATTCAACTAGTCTTCTTGGGAGTTTATAAAAAAGCCCTATAGCAGAACATGACTTAAATGGATGTGTTAATGACTTAGAGTACAGTTTTTACTGGTTCTACAGTTTGATTTATTTCTGCTTTTTTTTTTTGGCCAAGAAAATCAAAATTTTTCCCAATCAAAAAAGTTGATTATTTCTAAGATAAGCTATGCATGCTCTCTCAGTACTTTCTTCCTCTGCTTGTAGAGATGGTGTGAGGATACACACATGAATCCCTGAGTTGTTTCAGCTGCTTCATCTCTGTTAGGGTTAAAGCTTAATTATTCTATTATATTTTTCTGCAGTGTCTCGATACCTTTTAACGTGTCACTATTTTCAGGATATTTTGCAGAGGTAGCTTGTTCTCTTGGTTGCACAGGTATACACAAGGTATAGAATTTGCATGGTAATTGTCTATCTTTTCATAATCATAAGTTCAACAGCCAGATCCAAACCAGCCAAAGCCAGAAGGAGCTCAGATGTTGGCCATGCGTGGGGAACAGTTAGGTGTGGTTACAAACTGGCCGCCCTCTCTGGAAGCAGCTTTGCAGCGATGGGGAACCATCTCACCGAAAGCTCCTTGCCTAACCACTATGGATACCAATGGGAAACCACTCTATATCCTCACTTATGGTAAGCACTCTTTAAACTCCTCTTTTTTTATATACAATAGTACGTAGTGTATGTGTTTACACAAATATAGAAATATATCTATAGTAAATGCATATATAGCTTGTGAAAAAAGACTTCTAATGATTTCTCTATTCCATATCTAAGTAGGGTAAACCAGAATCTGGTAATGCCTGATTAGGAATTTGTAAGATGTTGTAGTATGATTTATTTGATGAAGAGGAAAAGATCTAAGCTGATACTTCCCTGAAATAACAGAGTATAAATGAAAAACACCTTTTAAATAGAAATAGGGCAGATTTTGCTGAAGATTAACTTGAAAATCCAATCCCCTTGGATATTACCCAGGCTTTGTTCTGCAAAGGCAGAATCTGGTAAACAAAGCTTCCTGAAAAACTTAAAATAGGATTTTTCCTGTGTTCTGCTGACATTATAATTTATTTGAATTACTCTTCCTGGTATTTAGTTGTACAGCTAGAAAACATGCCCCCTTGAAAGAGGCGGGGGGTGTGCCAGGGTACATTTCAGTGTGGTCTTGCTTTGTTGATATGTTTTGGTGTGTACTGCCTGACAGTCTTCTGCAACAAAGAAAGGGCAAGTGCAGATAAACATAAGGATATCTCTTGTCAAATAACTCACTTTTAGCTTCTAATTGTGAGATGCTCGGGGGACATTTGGGAGATACTCAGAGGAATTTTTATGGACAGATGTCAAACTTTGAGAGCAAGCTGGAACATTTTTTTGTGTGCTACTGTTTTGGATATAAAAATATTTTGCTTTTTTATTTCTGTCTTCTGATGGGCCTACAATTTGGTGCAGATAATATTTTTACATAGACATCTTATATACATCTTGTGTATATGCATATAGACATCTTGGGTATGTTGTTCTGTGCTGAGTGATGCCTTCTGTTCAGGAGTTATAATGAACGATAGTCCTTGACTGAAGAGATGTTTGCTGCAAGTTTCGGACTGCAAATATATTTAAAGGATTTTAAGGCATAACAGAACTCTACTGAAGGTCATTCATGAAACGTTTCCCCTTCAGCAACCTAGAGTTAAAAAGTTACTTAAATTGGAGGACAAATATATGATTCACTGTTGATACAGTATTTTCTTCCTTAAGCACATTCACTTGGAACTGGAAAAGAATTTTAAAGTTTGCAACTATATCTTTACAGAAGAGCAATTCATATCATCTACTCAAAGCACCAAATAAATTAGACAGGAAAGGAAATGAAGATGTTGTTGAGACTCAGACCATTTCTGAAGACTAGAATCTGCCGGGGTGTCTAAGCGTATGTCTTGTTTAGCCTCCAGAGCTAAAAAACTGAACAAATAAAACCTGTGGAGCTCATCCACCTACTTCACTTGGTCTGCTTCTCTTCCTCAGATAACTGCTT